TCGCAGAGGGCGCGCCGTCTGCCCCCGAGGGCTCCACCGCAGCGCCCGCAGCTTCAGACGGTCGCCCATGCAACGCCGACACTTGGCCGGTGATGATGAACTCCCTGCAGGTTGAGAGTTAAGCGGCTGTTAGTAACTGGTTTCACCTGCAAACGCAAACAACAGATGCATGGGGGTCCAAGTGCATAGTGTGCCAAAGCAACAAGCAGTACATACCTATACTGCTCCAGCTCCGCCAGCACTTCATCATCGGTGCGGTAGATGAGGTCGCTGACGCGCCAGAGCTGTAGCGTGCCGCCGCCGCCCTCCCCGGCCTCATCAGCCACGCTAAAGAAGGTCCAGGGGTCGGCGGGGTTCCACTGGAAGTCAACCACCTGCGTGGACGGTGGGGTCGGACCGACGAGAGGCATTTGGCAACAACATCAGCAATACAGGCAGGTGCACTGGGTTGCGGGCTGGACTGGCAGCGCTCTCTGGTTGCAACAGCTGGCGGGGGAAAAGTATTTGCAGGGCAGGCCATGAACCACCTCCCACCAGCCAAACCCTAAACTGCAGCCCTGCTCACTGGTGCTCGGTGGCCGGCGTGCTGGAACATCATCTGGGGCGGGATTGCGCTGCGCTGGCGCTTTGCGGCGACGCTCTCGGGGTCGGTGGCCTTGGCTTGCAGGTCCCACACGCACAGCAGCCTGCGGGACGAGAAACCAGGCAGGGGTCGAGGCTGGCGAGGCATGGTGAAAATCAGCAGCACCAGGAAACAGTGGGGGCCGCGCAGCGGGCACATGGTGGCAGGCAAGATGGTTGGTCGGGGGCGTCGATGCAAACAGCATGCGGCGATTATGGAGGGCGTGGCTGCCCAAGACAGCCATCGGGTACAGCCTCACCTGTCCTCTCCTGCGCTGGCAAAGATGCCTGATTGCTGCGGGCTCCACTCCACTACCGTGACCGCCGCGTCGTGGTGGTGGAAGGCAAAGAGGGGGCTGTCTGGCTTGCGCCGGTCCCACAGCTTGAGCGACCCGTCTGCCGCACCTACAGAGGAGTAGGGTGGAAGGCAAGCCCGTCTGCTCGGCATCCATTGTCCACCCCCACCAAAAACTCTCTTTGAACCAAAGGCAATGCAGCGGCGATGGAAGAGGGTCTCAGAGTAACTATAACAGCAAAGCTTCACGAGGCGGCATCCGCCTCGGCGCAGAGCGCTGGCCCAGGCGCACAAGACATGCGGCTGGGGCGCCGCGCCGTGGCGGTGGCAGCCGCCTTGCAGAGGGCAGAGGGGTCGTCACTGACCGGGGGCACATGCAACAGGACAGGAAGGGCATGCACAAGGGGCAGCCAGACAGCGGCAGCATGGCGGGCCAAGCGAGCAGCAGCCAGCCGAGCCTGCCGCCCACCGGTGACCAGCATCTCCTGCTGGTGCGGGCTCCACGCCACGCAGTGCACATCCTGCGGGCCGTGCACAGAGGCGACGTGCAGCACGGGCGCGCCGCCGCGCCGCGTGTCCCACAACAGGAGAGAGTAGTCGTCGCCTGCAGATTGGAAGGTCAGGGGTGGGGAGGAGATAAATGGCATTGCGGTCGAGGTGCTGATGAGAATCCCAGCCCAGCAAGTCGGCCGCAACACGCGGCAGCCGCGGCGCTGCTCACCTACGCTGGCCAGCTCGAAGCTGCTGCCTGGGCACCAGCACACATCCTCCACCGTGTTGCTGTGCCCCGACAGCGTATGCAGCGGGTCCAGGTGGGTGCTGGCGCCAGGGCCAGAGCTGGCGGTAGAGGAGACGGCCAGGCTGGTGCTGTGTGAGTCTAAATCCCAGACGAGCACCTGCAGGAGTGGGGAAGCCGCCAGGGCATGCTCTCAGGCATTTGGCGGTGAGCAGCCGGTGTGCATGGCGTGATGCAAAAAGGGCCTCAGATAGGAGCGAAAGACATTCGATATTGATGTTTCCTCAACGCGGGGAGTAAGCCCGCTGCAGATGAACTATGCGTGAATTGAATCATCAAGGGCCATGCAGTGAAAATGACGGCACCAGCATGAAGGTGCATGCACACGGCGAGCAGGATGCAAGGGGCAGGCGGGTTGGGAGCTTCAGAGAAATCCGCTAATTGTGTCATTCAAAATGGCAGGGCTCAGGGCCCCACCTCAGCGTGTGTAACAAAGGGTAAACATCAGCAGCTCGGGCAGATGCATGTGTGCATGTGGCGGGTGCGGTCAGGCAGGAGAACAGGTGCATGCGTGTGCAGGGGCGTGCACCAGTGTGCGAGATAAATGAAGGGTGTGAGATAAATGAAGCACGATGCCCACCCCCTGCAAGCCCCACCTTGGTGTCGTCGCCACCGCTGGCCACCAGTGGTGCAGAGCTGCTAACATCCACCGCAAACTTGGCATCCTCTGTGTGCCCCTCCAGAACAAGGTCCGCCACAGACTGCTGCTTGCTGCTGGTGCTCTGCAGGCGCGAGCGATGGGTGGCCAGCACGGCAAGCAGGTTGCCCGCGGCCCGAGCTTGCCAGGCGGCTGCTCCCTGCTCACTTCTCCCCACCCCACCCCACCCACGCGTGCCCAAACCCCCTTGCCTCACCTTGACCCCCGTCCTGTCTGGCTGCGTGTCGGTGTTCCACACGTAGAGGCTGGGCGAGTCGGTGTGGGTGACCAAGACGTGCGGGTGCAGCGGCACCTCCCGCATGCGATTCACCTCGCCGGGGTGGACAAGAGTCTTCAGCGGCATGCCCACATGCGGACTCCTACCATGCTCTGCACCCAGGAGCGGAAAACACGCGGGGGTGAGCACGTGGCACTTTCACGCCACTCCTGCCGGCTTCCAGGCCACAAGCATCCCTGCATGCTGCCGCACGGTATGCAGGCCCAGCGGCACCAGGCCTGCCTGCCCATGCACACGGCGCACCCGAGAAGCCTTGCAGGTGGTCGGCGGCTGCGACACGTGGGTGCACCACGTCCACATTCACCAGCACAATCCTGTTGGGCTCGCTGCCGTCGGTCTGCTCGCTCAGGTACAGCCTCTGCTTGTTGCTCTGCGGCCCACGCTCCAGCACCGGCCCCCACCTGCAGCCACAGCGGGGATAGGACATTGGCACAGGCGACAGCGGACAACCGTGGGGTGGCACAGGAGGGCTGTCCAGGCAAAACGCAGCCAGCGGGCGGGATTGGCAAGGCGGGCAACGGGTGGCACCCACCGGCAGGCCAAGGAAGGCCAGAACAGCGAGTGGCTCGCAAACCAATCATATCTGCAGGCGTGTGGGTGGGGGCTGTTCAGCGGTGGCGATGGCAAGCCAGGCAGCGCCTCATGCTGCAGACGGCTGCACGAGGCTGGCACCGCTTCATGTGGCAGCCCTCCAGCCTCCTACACTCACAGATAGGGAACCAGCTTGCGCCAGGCCACGTGCTGCTGCTCAGCGGTGGCCATGGGGCGCCGCGGCCCTCTGGCCGGCGCCGCCGGCGGCGAGCGGGCCCCTGCTACCCTCGGAGGCCCTCTCAGATCTGCAGCCGCCGCTCCTGCTGCATCCAGCCGACGAGGTGGACTGAATGCCTTCCTGGCCCGCTCACGAGTGCATGATGCTGAGGGCGGGCCACAGAGGCGATTGCTCACTCGCAGCCACGGTACTTCAAGCTAGGGCATGGAAATGCAGCAGCGTGACATACTCGGCGCTGCCAGATGGCTGGCCATGGGCGGCCACGGCTCGACCCGGCAAACTAATGCCAGTGAGCGAGCCACGCCCGCCCTCTTTTGCGCTTCACAAACACACAATCCGGCTTGGACAAGGAGGAGAAGGCCCACTGCACCTACCTTGGCGTGTTGCAGGGCTCTTTCAGCGGCGGAAGAACCACGCCCGCAATGGCTGCCAGCGCGGCCTGCAGCTTCTCGGGGCGCGCCCAGACGCCCTTTAGCCAGCCAGGTGAGGGAGCGCCGAGAGAGCGAGGGGCCCTCACCCCATCTGCACCCGCGCCACACCCGCTGCTTCGGCCCCGCCCGCCTCCACCGGGCTTCGGGGGCCCCTGGGAGGCGGTTACAGGGCAGGACCGGGGCGCAGGGTGGAGTTTTGGGGCTGCCGAAGCTGGTGGTGTGGGCGCCGGCTCACTCAGGCTCGGCCCCGCCCCGTTTCCGAGCTCCCGGGCTCGCGATGTCGAGACGGGAGGGCGCCGCCGCCGCCGCCCGCAACACCCACCTGACTCATGCCGCAACCACATTCTGCACCCCTGGCGCGCCACCCGCAGGCCGCACGCGCCGGCGACAGCTGCGCGCCACCCCCAGCATCCGCAGCAGCTTGGAAGAGGAGTTCAAGAAGCAGTGTCTAGGCCGCACCAATGGCACCAGCAGCAGCAGCAACCAGGAGCGCTTGAAGGTGCGCCCCGGAGCCTCCAGGACTGCCGCAGCCTGCAATATAAGCAGCCGCCAAGCACCTAGCTACCGCCGCGCCTTGCACCTGCCGCTGCTAGCCGGCCAGACTGTCCATCGCCACTCATTCTGTCCCGCCTGCAGGACTTGAGCGCCTCTCACTTTGGCGGCGGCGACCGCGCGGCGGCGGGCAATGGCGCCAGCCTGCAGCCCCCCGCCGCCGACGGCAGCAGCAGCAACAACTGCGACGAGGCGGCGCCCTTCACCGCCAACCTACCGCTCAGCGGGGAGCCCTACCACCCGCTCGAGTTCTACCCCACCTCTCAGATAGACCTGGACTGGGGCTCCGCCGCCACGCCCGACGAGCCGTGGGCCGGCGGCGCCGAGCGCTCACGCTGCTTTGTCATCCTCTTTGGCGTGGGCCGCGCCGAGACGGAGGGCATCTACTCGCTGCGTGCAGTGGCGAAGGACGACGGCCTGCCGGTGGACACGATAGTGGCGTTTGAGAACGAGGATGATGCGCTGAGGTGCGCGGCGCTGCGCGCGCGCGCGGGTGGTCGGCATGCGTGGCAGAACCGCGTCGGCGGCAGCGCCGCGGCAGCGCGGCCCTGCCTTGGCAGAGGGGCAGGCAGCAGGGCCACGATTTAGTTGGCGGTGGGGCGGCAGCGCAGCCCGGCATCCGTGCACCTGGGCCCAGGCCTGCACCCCACCACCATCCCACCCATTCTGCCCTGGGCACCCGCCTGACTCTTCCGCGCCTCCTGCCCTGCCCTGCCCTGCCCTGCCCTGCCTGCAGGTACTCCACGCTGCTTGAGGCCACCATGGACCACGAGCCCACGGTGTGGCCCATTGAGTGGGGCGAGCTGCTGGAGTTCTGCAACTCTGCGGGGTACCGGTGCCGCCTGGAGCCGTCTGGCAGCCTGCTCATCCCCCCCGACTACAACGTGGGCATGACCGACTGGGAGAAGAGCCTGAGGCTGCGCAAGGGCGAATTCAGCGTGCTGGGCAACGAGCCCGCGCCGCGCCAGGCGGGCGAGGGCTTCTTCCTCGACGGCCCAAACTGGGTCTTCGAGTCGGCTCCCATCATGCAGGGTGAGGCGTGCGGCAGCTGCTGGTGGAGTTGCCGGCAGGCAGCCGGAGGGGCCAGCTGCTTGGTTGAGGGCAGGGTGGCATGGGTCAGCGGGGGGGAGGGGAGGAGACCGCGTCTTGCCCAGCCCCTGCTGTTGTTTGCTTGCCCGCGCGCTGACGCGCCCCGCCCCCTGACGCTGTTGCTGCAGATGACGAGGAGGTGCACACGGAGCACCTGAACGCTGTCATCGACAGCCAGCTGAGCAGCCCCGCTGCGCTGGAGGCCATGAAGGCCAGCCTGGAGCGCCTGCTGCCCCAGGAGTGAGCCCGCCCTTTTGGGTACCTCCCCACATTTCATCGGGCCAGCGCGACGTGCGCCGCGCCCCTGCACATTGATTGATTTTCGGCCCACCCCTTTCTTCCATTAGTTAGTGCAGCAGGCCCACCATTCCGCAGTGGAACGCTCTGCAAGTTTTGGTTGTTGACGCATCCCCGCCGCTGTGGCCGCCAGCTGGCAGCCGACCTGCGGACGCTCCCCCTCCCTCTCTCCCCCCACTTTAACCCTCCCCGCCGGCGTCTTTTCGCCTTTTGGCTGCTCTCTTCCCTCCCATTTTGAACAAATGAAGTTTTCGCCAGCGACCTAGTTCATTCCGGCTGCGGCGTGCCCCCCTCGCCCGGCTGAGCTTTTCCGGAGCACCTCTTGGTGCGGCACCCACCCCTGGGCTTCGTCCCGCTGGTGCCGCGTTCTTTGCCCCAATTGGCACCAACGCCTCGGGCCCCCCTTCCCTCAGAACCGTAGCTAAGCCACCCCAACGAAGGCATACGCAACAGTCTCATTCCAACTAACACTGCCCCTCCCCCCAAAGGCGCTCGGGACCTCGATTCGCCGCCCCGTCGGCCACGACCCCTGCCTGCTCTCCGTCTGCCTTGTTTTTCCCTGCCACTCTCCTACCCAGTGCTGCGCTACTCCGCTCACCCACCCCCTGGCAATTGTGTTTTGTGCAGCACCTCACCACTGCCACACGCCTGTTCCCCACCCCCCCGTCGGCCGCCGGCCGGACCTGGCGCGCCCCGTCACCTAGCGACCCCGCACTTGCTGTGTGTGTGTGTGTTACCACCTTCCATTCCAGTCCTCCGTGGTTTAATTTGTCCCGCACCGCTTGTCCCGCTGAGCCGCCCTTTGACCTAGCGCGGGCTGCTCTGGCCCCCTGTACTGAAGCAATCAACACCGATGTCCCTCCTGTGCCTTATGAGACATGTGCCGCCGTCTTCTTTATACCCCGCTCCTCTTCTTTCCACGCCGCCACATGCTCGCTGAGCTCAGCAAGGGCTTCTGGCCGCCCACTTGTATCACCCTGCTCCCAGGGCGGCTGCGCCCTAATGATGTGTAAGGCAGAGATAGACCCACAACAGGGCAGCTGGCCGGTTGGTGTTGTGGCCGGCAATAATGGTGGCAGGCGAGTGCTGGCACCAAGACCTCAGCAGCTTGAAGCCAACACACGCCATCCGAGTGTTCCATCCCTCCTGAAGCAGGTTGCTGCAGGTGGCGAGGATGAAGCGGCGAGGATGGAGCGGCCTGTGGCTGGGGACCATGCGGCTGGTGGCGGTGCTGCCGCCGCTCTTGGTGGGGTGCAAGGCGGCGGTGGGCGGGTTGTGGCGGGGGTGTTGCTGCGGGCCTGCTGGTCTGCAGATGCTGAGATCGAGTGCTGACCTTATGTTTCCTGCTGCCATTGCGTCGCTGCACGCGCAGAGGTGGGGCCTGCAATGCGGGAGTCAGGCCAGTCCCTGAGGCGGTAGCCATGGAGCACTGCATTGTGCCAAAAACGATTCAGCATGCGAGAACGTGAGATGAATGATGAGTCCCGTCAGCAACCAGTCAGCAACCTGGGCCACCCTCGTTCTCCATGGCCCCTTATCACACTGCACATTGCCTTAGCCGATCCTCGAGATCAAGCCACCTCCTGCCACTGCGCCCCGGTTTGCCTGCCTCGGACGCCCCGACACCCTCCTCCCTTGCTCCTTGGCGCCTCGCGTGCCCTCGCACCACAGGTGAGCCAGTGGACTCGAGCGGCTAGGGCCATGCCAGCAGACATGCCAGCGGCCTGGGACACTGCCAGCGGCAGGCGGCCCGCGACGCGTCTGCTCGCCTCCGCGGCTGGGTTGGTCGGCACCCCTCGCACACTGCCCACCCTTTTCTTGCAGGCGCCTGCACCATGGAGGGCTTTGACTCACGCAGCGCCGCCTCCTTGGGAGACCTTCAACAGGGGCTGCTCCTCAAGTTGCTGGAAGGCGTGCCGCTCAAGGACCGGTGAGGCTGCTCCCTGGCACTTCAGCTCCCGGCCCTCCCACACCTTTGTATGCTGCCCACACCTTTGTATGCCCCCCATGCCTACCTGGCGAGTCTCCGGGTGCAGGCACCGCTCGGTGGCGCTGGTGAGCAAGCGCTGGCTGAGGCTGAGCCGCCACAAGCGGCTGCTGAGCACGCTGGAGTTCCAGCTGCCGGGTCACGATATGGTGAAGCGTGCGCGCTCCTTACGGGCATGGCTGACGAAGCATGCCGTGGGTGGAGTGCCCTGCGCGTCGTCACAGGAGTTGACATTTCCGGCTTCAGCCTTGGAGGCACACCCGCCCACGATGCAGCCTTTGAGCAGCTGCTCGAGGTGCTGCCAGCCCTCAACACCAACCGCCAGCTGCTGGACCTGGCCTTCGACCTGAATGTGCCCATTGAGTCCACCCTGCCACCTAACCAGCTCTGGGCTGGCATGCTGAGCAGCGTGAGGCGCCTGCACATCAACTGCGATCTGGGTGGCTACGTGGTGCTGGATGCGGGGATGGAGGGGATGAGCAGCCTGCAGGACCTGCGGATGGATGTGTCGCTGCTGGAGACGACTCCCATGTGCCGCCTCCCGCCACACCTGACCCGCCTGTTCCTCCCGGGCCCGGGCAGCATCGACTGCCTGAACCAACAGGTTAGCAGGTTAGCTGCTGAGTGCTGGAGTGCTTTCTGGTGTAGGAGTCGTTATCTCAGCACGTTTATCTGTCCCTGTTATCCAAGCAGATGGATAGGCTGCAGAGCCTGAAGAGCCTGCACCTGAAGGGGTTCTACTGTGCCGCTGACTTGGAGATGCAGAACTGCAGTCAGGTGGGCCAGCTCATGCAGATTGTATGTTCTAACAGCCAGATGTTCTAACAGCCAAATATTGGCAAAAGCCAGCTACCTGCCACGCGGGCGGGCGGCCCCTGCTTTTGCACGCGATCACCCTACACTGTCGGCTACACTTCTCTGTGTTGCAGCTGCCGGCATGCCTGTCAAAGCTGACCCAGCTGGACACTCTAGTTTTGGACAACACACCCGGATGGGACGGCCTTGAGGAGAAGACTGTCGCGCTGGAGGCAGCATTGCCACCGTTGCAGCACCTCACTCAGCTGGTGCTCGAGGGCATGCCTGGTGTGGCCCCTGCTGCACTGGGGACCCTCAGCCGGCTGCAGCGCTTTGGCGTGGAGGGAAAGAACAATGAGAGCCTGGTGCTGCCTCGTGGTGCCTGGCTGAACAGCCTGCGCGAGGTGGCGCTGCCGCCACAAGTGTTGGCGGCGAATGTGGGAGTCCTGTCTGGTGCCGTGGCTCTGGAACGAGTGGATGTCGGCAGCCTGTTTGGTGCGTCTGTCATTGCACAGACTGCCATACTATGCTGGGTGGCGGAGCACCCCTCAGTGAGCCGCCTGGCCATGAGCACCGAGGGTGCCCACTGTAGCGAGGCATCCTTCCGCGCAGTGGTGGGAGCGATGCAGCGCAAGCCCTCCCTCGCATTTGATTTTGGTTACCGGTCGAGCAGCGACCGCTTGTGGCCCGAGCCACCCGCCTTCGAGCCCTGGAAGGTGTCCACACCGTTCTAACCTGGCCTGCTGTGTTTAGCGTTCGTGTGTCTGCGTGACTGTTCACCTTCCTAGGTGCTATCCCAGGCATGTCTGTTGAAACTGGGCAAGGATTTAGCACAACATGTCAAGACAGGCAATGACCAGGCCTGGTGGGTGGCTGCAACTGCGCGGGCAGCCGTTTAGCCGGCGGGCCGCATTCCCACCTCAACCAGGGTGGTGCGGTTACAGGGGTAGAGGCACATGCTGCTGTCGGGGGTTGGAACATGGGGGAAATAGGTGCAGAACCGCAGAATTTGCAGGGAGCAAACAGCAAACAAAAGAACAGCGGGCGCTTCCGCCGTCACCGCCCGGGCTGGTTGCCGTGCGCCGGAGGCAGCGAGCGAGCACCAAGCGAGAGTGCCGATGCTCAAGAGTACAAATCGTCCTCCTCATCCGCTGCCCCTGCAGAAGCGAACGTGCCGGCTGCCGCGGCGGGTGCGGCAGCAGCGCCAGGGGCGGCGGCCGCGGCACCGCCCGCATCGGGGAAGCGGAAGTCGCTGCCAAAGCCGCGGGACTGCTGCAGCGTCTGCGCAAAGGCCTGGTACTTGCGGATGTCAGCATCACTGACAGAGCGGCGCGCAAACTTCATGCTCTCCTCAAAGTGCGCCTTGGTGATGCAGGGCACTGCAGTGCAGCGAGGCGGGGCCAGGAGGCGGTGACGACTCGCACGACGCAGTCCAAACTTCACACAGCCCGCCTCTCCAGCCCAGCCCAGCCCAGCACACCCACCCGGATCTGTGTCATCCTCGTCCATCAGGTCCTCATTCTCCTGCTTGCGCCGGTTGCGCTCAATGTCCTGCGCACACACAGCAGGCGCAAAGTTGGGCGGGGCGGCGACAGCTTACCATTCGCTGCGGCAGCGAAGCCCAATCCGCTCTCCTGGCACACGCATGCACACAAGGTGCTGCTCCCCTGTGCTCCATTTTTTTCCCACCCACCACCTGCCGCCAGCCCACCTTCTCGATCGACTCGCGGATGGCGTACTTGACGGCGCGCTGGCAGATCTCGGTGATGTCGGCGCCGGAGAAGCCCTGGGTCACCTTGGACAGCAGGTCCAGGTCGACGTCGGGCGCCACCGGCGACTTGCGCAGCGCGCTCTTGAAGATGGACCGGCGGCTGCCGTCGTCTGCGGGGGCACGTTCAGGGGGGCGCGCGGGAAGCAGGGCAGGGCAGGTTGGCACCGAGCGGGTGGCGCATGTGTGTGTGTGGGGGGGGGGGGGCAGCAGGCGACCAGGGCACCAGGCCGGCCAGGGGTGTGTGGCGCTGCCGAGGAGCACGCCAGGGTGGCGGCTGACCTGGCAGCGGGATGTAGATGAGCTGGTCCAGGCGGCCGGGCCGCATGAGGGCTGGGTCGATGATGTCGGGCCTGTTGGTGGCGCCGATGATGAACACCGTCTTCTTGGCGTTCATGCCATCCATCTCCGTCAGCAGCTGGTTGAGCACGCGGTCGGCGGCGCCGCCCGCGTCGCCGCTGGAGGAGCCGCGCTGCACGGCGATGGAATCCAGCTCGTCGAAGAACAGCACGCAAGGGGCGGACTGGCGGGCCTGCAGGGGTTATTGGAGGGGAGGGCGGGGGTGGGGTGGGGAAAGGTGAGCGAGGGATGGGAGCCTGGGGAGCACCCAAGCAGGAAGGCAAGCGGGCGGGTACGCAGAAGCTGGGCACATCTACGCAGGCCACGCTCCCGCAGCCACCCCGGCTGGCTCACCTTGTCGAAGATCTCCCGCACATTTGCCTCCGACTCGCCAAACCACATGGTCAGCAGCTCGGGGCCCTTGACGCTGATGAAGTTGGCCTGGCACTCGTTGGCAATGGCCTTGGCCAGCAGCGTCTTGCCGCAGCCTGCAACAAGGAGGGTGGGCGCAGGCAGGGGGGCATGAGGAGGAGCAGGTTGAACATGCTGTTGTGTGGTGCCATGAACAGGCTCCCTGATACCTGGCTGCCTGGCTGGCTGGGGCCTCCCAGCAGTGCACGGGCCAGCGGTACACTGCCGCAGCGCATGCAGCGCACGACGCCAGCCGGCGTGCGCCGCCCACCTGGCGGGCCGTAGAAGAGCACCCCCTTGGAGGGCGCCATGCCATACTTCTCAAACTTCTCGGGGTGCTCCACCGGGTTCTGCACCGTCTCCTGCAGCTCGCGCTTGACGCCCTCCAGGCCGCCAATGTCGTCCCACGTGATGTTGGGCACCTGCACGCCAGCCGGTGCAAGGGTTGCATCAGCGTGGCGGTGCAAGGCAAGGTGCAGGGCAAGGCGCAGGCGAGGGCTATGCAGCTCTGCTCTGGCCAGGGCAGGAACCAGCCTGATCTGTGCAGGCTACCGCAAGAGCAGCATGGCAGGCCGTGCCCCGCACCTCCACCACAGTCTCGCGTAGCGCAGAGGGGTTGGACAGGCCCAGCGCAGTCTTGAAGTGGTCCATGGTGACGGCCATGGAGTTGAGCACCTCTGCATCGATGCTCTCATCCTCCAGGTCAATCACGTCCATCTTTTCACGGATGCACTGCAGGGTGGGCAGGAGGGGGCAGGCGATGGCGGCGGCAGGGCCATGAGCAGGCGAGCACTGGCCCCAAGGGATTGGCAGGGCGGGGGTGCCAACCCTTGTACAGTCACACACCTCACCACGGTTGACCCACCCCATCCTCAAAACCCCTCCAGCCCTGCCCCCCTCCCACAACACCCCAGGCGGCCCACCTGCAGCGCCGCCTCAGTGCACAGCGCGGCCAGGTCTGCGCCCACATAGCCGTGCGTGTCTCGCGAGATGGCCTCCAGATCTACATCCTCATCCAGCTTCATGTTGCGGGTGTGGATGCGCAGCACCTCCAGGCGCCCAATCTATACGACCCACGAAACGAAGAAAGCGGGGCCGTGAGACAGGGGAGTGCATTGCCAAGCGCGGCAGGTGCAAGCCGGCCCAGGCGACTGTGCAGACTCCCTGCATCAAGTGTAGCGCAGCAGCAGCAGCAGCGGCGCACCTCGTCGGGCACGCCAATGTCAATCTCGCGGTCGAAGCGGCCAAAGCGGCGCAGTGCTGGGTCGATAGAGTTGGGGCGGTTGGTGGCACCCATCACAATCACGTGGCTGCGTGACTTGAGGCCGTCCATCAGCGTCAGCAGCTGCGACACGATGCGCCGCTCCACCTCGCCCTGCAGGCAGCCAAGAACGGGGCGGCCAGGTGGCGGGAGGGACAATGGCGGGGTCGCAAGTTCCCAGCAGCAAGCACTTTGGCCCGCTCCAGCCCATCTCCGCAACCCTGTCCCCACGCCTCTTCACTTGCCTGCGTCTTCTCGCGCTTGGGCGCGATGGAGTCAATCTCATCAATGAAGATGATGGCGGGGGCATTCTTCTCAGCCTCCTCAAAAGCCTGCGGCAGCCCCATTGGGAGGGAGGAGGGATGCAGAGCAACGGGCAGATCGGGGCAACAGGGATGGCCAGCCTCCTTGTTTAAGTAACAGCCACCTGCCCGCCTGGGATGCTGCCAGTTGCAGCTGCGGCTGCACTGGCGCACCTTGCGCAGGTTGGACTCGCTCTCTCCCGCCAGCTTGGACATGATTTCTGGGCCATTGATGAGGAAGAAGAAAGCGCCTGTCTCGTTGGCCACCGCCCTGCAGGCGGGAGGAGCAGGAGGAGGGAGGCAGGCCGGTAAAGAGGAAGGGAGGGTGATAGGAAGGCAGGGAGGCACAGGGTGCACAATGCAAGCCGCACCTGGCAATCAGGGTCTTGCCGGAGCCGGGGGGCCCGTACAGCAGGATGCCTTTGGGCGGCTTGACGCCGATGGTTTTGAACAGCTGAGGGTGGCGCAGCGGCAGCTCCACCAGCTCCCGAATCTGGGCCATCTGCTTGCGCACGCCGCCCACATCGTCATAGCCCACCTGCGCAGCAAAGGCAGGTTTGGCAAGGGTAGGGGGCCAAGAAACTTGCAAAATGTCAGCCAGGGTGCAGGGGCAGTTGCAGCAGGTGTAAAAGACCTGGCAGGCAGCAGCAGATGCACACTCCACACTCCAGCTTCACAGAAAGCCAGCAGCGACGCACTGACCTCGTCCAGCCGCTCCTCATCCTCGCGCCGGATGGGCTCGCCCTCGCAGTAGATCTCGGTGTCGGGGGCCACGATGCAATACTCAGCGGGGTCGGTCTCCACCACCTTGAACTCCACGGTGCGCATGCCGCCGCGCACCAGGAAGGTGTCGCCCTGCGGTGTGTGGGCGGTGGGAGGCAGCAGTAGTCTAGATTCGGATACTCTAAGGGGAGGTGGGTGCAAGGTGAAGTTTAGCATGGCCACCCAGAGTTCCAGCAGAAGCAGTAGTATGCGTGTGCTGGGGCAGTGCATGTCCCCGCACTGCAGAAGCCGTACGCCCTGCTCCCTCAACACACGCCCGCCCACACAGCAGTTCCCACCTTGCGCACTGGGCGGTAGGCCTCCTGGAAGTAGGGCTTGAGGAAGGCGTCGAAGAGGTTGCCGCTGATGCCCTCAATGGTGTCCTCAAACGGCAGCACGTGGATGCGCTTGCCGTACTTGACGTCAGGGCACTGGTGCACGCTCACAATGTCACCCAGCCGCACCCGCAGGTTCTTGCGCACCACCTGCCGGGCGGGGAGGCAGTGGCCTGGTCAGCATCCTGCCAGCCAGGGCCTGGTCCAGGGCAGGCTGGCTGCTGCAGACCGCCGACCAGTTAGCAACCCATCTCCATGCCAGCAGACCAACTGCACAGCCGGCCAGCCAGCTGCCGTGCCCAGGGCGCTGCAGCACCTTGTTCATGCGGATCTTAGCCTCCTCCACCGTGTCATCGGCCAGCACAATGCACACTGTGTCCTTGCGCTTCTTGCCCTGCACTCCAGGCACGGCAGGCAGACGGGAAGGCAGGCTGATCAGCAGGGGTTCAGCTGCACCACGGCACCAGCCACAGCGTGCTGGCCAGGAAAAATCTGCAACAAGTTGCTCCACAACCAGCACCAGCGGGCAGGAGGAGTTGGCGTGCCAACAGCGACCAGTCGCCCGAACAGCCAGCCTGCAGCCCACCTTGAGGAGCACGGTGTCACCCCTGAACAGCTCCAGCGTCTCCATAGTCTTGGGATTGAGGGTCACCACTGAGTTGTCATCCTGGTTCACCGCATCATCCACCACCAGCCGGTTGGGCGACTTCTTGCGCTCCTGCACGAAGGAGCAAGGACGGGTGGCGGGTGGGCGCCGCCGCCACAGCAGGGTTGCAAGTGGCCACCCAGGGCGCCTCATTTGCCCTGCTGCGTCCTTCCACGCATGCTGTGGACGCAGAGCAGCGCGATCCGCGGCTGGGCAGTCCAGTGGCCTCAGGCACGCACCAGGATGGCCGTGGAGAAGTCCTTCTTGCTGCAACACACAGAGCAAGGGATGGATCGGATTCAGGCGGCCCGGCAGCAGGGCATAGGGTGCAGTCAGCGGCGGTGATCGGTGAATGGACTTACTGGTCTGCTCCAGCGGGCTGCTGGCTCCCCGATGGAGCTTCGGCAGGGTCGCTCATGGCTACCAGCAGGTGTTGACGGACGTGGGCGGGCCTACAAGAGCAAAAAGGCTGAGCGCTTCTGGTCTCTTCCGCCCGGCTGGCTGCACCAATGGACAACGCCTGGACAGAAGGGAAGCGTGTAGCAGCCGTGGAGGCAGCTCGGCCCCTCCTGAATTCCCTGCTGACAGCGCCAGCCAGGCGGCCTCAGCGCGCAGCGTCGCTCATCGCGGCAAGGCAGAGTCTTGACTCTGAGCCAGACAATGGGTGCATGTCAAGCTACAAAGGGGTACTGTGCCCATTGGTGAGAGGCAAGGGCTTGGCCTCTCCACCCTCAAGGCGGCGCCGCTTCCAGTACCCTCCCCTGCCCGCCACGTCCTTGCTTGACCGGCTGCAACGGTGTGGGTCTGCCTAGCATTACAGGGGAAGGATAGCACGCACACACAATCGAGAAGGGAGCAAGCAAACATCCCAAAAACGCGAAATCCAGTTAAAAATACGAACAGGCAGGCGCTGCAAGGAAGCAGCACGTTGCAAGCCGTGGGAGGGTGATCGGACAGAGCCGGGAGCGGGTGGGCAAACAGGTGTCAGCACAGGTGTGGTGGTCAAAAGCGCTCACATGGGGCAAGAAGGTGAGGGAATCGACAGCAGCAAGAAACAAGCTGTGATTGGGGATCCTGGAACAGTAGCTACATCACATCATTCGCGGGCACCCTCAAGAAGGGCCTCTTCATTTGTTGCATCTGCTAGAAGGCTTGCTGGCACCGCGCTGCACCAGACGCCGCCGTTGTTGGCAGCAGCAGCGGGCGCCGCACGGCCTGGCAGGCCCCACAGCAGCCGCCGTCGCGGGGGCTGCGATGCTGCAGGCTATGTGCCGGCACCTCACATCAGCAGGGCGGACTCCACGATCAGGCGGGTGACGACATAGGGGTCCAGATTGGAGGCAGGGCGGCGATCCTCGTAGTAGCCGCACTTCTCCACAGGCACCATGCGGCCGACGCGGATGGAGCAGCCGCGGTTGGCCACACCCCACGAGAAGTCGTCCATGCTGCTGGTCTCGTGCTTGCCTGCGGGAGGCACAGGGTGGGAGGCGCTGAGTGCCACTACTCGCTGGGCATGCTTGGGTGCGCACAGGCACGACTGCATTCCAAGCAACGAACTGCAGGACAGCATGCCCGTTCCAGCTGCTACCGCCCAGCCCAGGCAGCCCAGCCCAGCACCACCCACCGGTGAGGCGGCGCTCGTTGCCCTCGCCGTATGCCGCAATGTGCACCGCGTGCCGCTTGCCCAGCTTGGCAATCTGGTCCTGGATGGCCTGCCAGCCGGTGCCGGCTGCGCGGGTGGCCTTGGAGGAGAAGTTGGTGTGGCCGCCGGCGCCGTTCCAGTCGCCCGCAACGGGCTTGGGGTCAAAGGTGACCTCAATGTTGTACAGCTCTGCAGGCGGGGACATGAAGCCAGGGAGAGAGGGAGAGCGTTAGCGACGGGGTCAGACTCGAGTGCTGGTGCCCAATGTTTGTGGAGGGAGGGCCCAGAGGCTCGTTTCACTCACCTGCCAGGCGGTACATGATGTAGCGCGACATCCACAGGTCGTCGCCCATCTTGATGCCGGTGCAGGGGCCCACCTGCAGGTGAAGGAAAGGCAGGCAGAGGCAGGAGTCAGCCGCGTGCCATTGAGCCACCAGGCCTGGGGCAGGTGGAGCAATGCCACGTGCACAGTGCACCGCTTGCTGCGTCCCGCACCTGGTACTCCCACTGCGCGGGCATGACCTCTGCGTTCACGCCGCTGATGAGGACGCCAGCATACATGCAGGCCTTGAGGTGGCTCTCAATCAGCTCACGGCCGATGGCAGCGCCAGAGCCAGCTGCATTTGGGAGGGGGTGGGAGGCGGGCACAGACGGCAAGTCAGAAGAGTGACCAGGAGAGCGCACGTCAGGCAGGCAGGCGCAGGCAGGCTGAGAAGCGAGACGCACCGGCGCAGTAATAGGGGCCCTGGGGGCCGGGGAAGCCGTTGGTGGGCCAGCCCAGGGGCCACTTGGTGCGTGCGTTCAGCAGGGTGTACTCCTGCTCAATGCCGAACCAGGGCTCCTCGTCCTTCACCTTCTCCATCACCTGCAAAAGAGGGCAGAAGGTGGTTGGGTGAGCAGAAGGCACAAAAACAGAGGAGCAGCAGCAGCAGAGCTTGGACCTGTCTCCGCCGCAGCGGAGGCTGCAGCGGCTGTGCACCTCGGCGCAGGCGGCGCGGGTGTTGGTGGGGAGGGGCTTGATGGAGGAGACGGAGCCGTCAGGGTTGACGCGGGGCGGCTCGTAGGTGTCGCACATGACGATGATGTTGTCGCCGCCGCGGAAGGGGTCCTTGTAGATGGTGCGGGGCACAATGTAGACCTCAGAATCGTCGCCGGGGGCCTGCAGGACGCGGCGGGGTGAGGGAGGGAAGGTGTCAGGTTGGCAGGTTTGGAATGGCGGCGGCGGCACCGCTGGCGGCGGGCGATCGCGGGATCGCCGCACCTGGCCGCAGGAGGAGCCGTCGTAGTTCCAAGCGGGCAGGTCCTCGGGCTTGGTGGGCACCTTGGTCAACACCCTGGTCTTGGAGCGCTGCAATGGCAGTGGGCAACATAGACCATCACTCTTCCGCCGTGCCCTGGGCGCCCCCACCACCCTACAGGCGCCAGGGGCGCGATGGGAGGGGCCCTGCTGCGCGGCCAGGGCAGGCGGCGGCGGCTAGGGCATTCGCCGCACGGCCTTTACTCACCATGTCAGCGCCGGTGCCGCCGAATCCACACATACCTGCGGCACCAGGAGGCCAGCAGGGACTCAGCGGCGGGCGATGGCCCCCCCGGCGGGCGGTTGGGCTGGGTAGGGCTTCCCCAAGCCCTACCCAGCCTGATCCTCCCACCGCCGGCTGCACTCACTCGGCGATGACGCTGCCATTCTGGTCCAGGTCCTTGAAGCGGTTGTCCCAGAGCGAGCCATCCAACAACTGCTCCTCCTTGCCTGTCGTCCCGAAGCACGGCGGCAGGGTGTAGGGTTCGCTGCTGGGAGACATGGTGGTTCAGTTGTGACAACAAAGGTCCAAAATTGGCAGCAGAGGTGGCGCGATGGGGACAGGAGTTGGGTTGATGAGGTGGGCTCCTCATGTGAAAGCGTGCACGCCATGCCAGCGTGCGGGGCCACCCCTACTCTCTGACCCACAGGCTGCCATATGGGAAATGGAGGCCAGGGAGGCATTGGACGCGCCACCAACTCGTCTGCAGGGCCGGAGAGGCTGTCTGGCAACCCAGGGCCGCATTCGCTGCTTCTCTACGCCGCTGCCGCCATGCCGATCGTCCCGCCGCCATTTAGAGGCCAGGATGTGGGACCATCCCATCCTCACTGTCAATTACAAGCACGGAGTAAGCATAGCCTTGATCACTGACGGGGATCCATGGCCTGGCGGTCAGGAAAAGGGCCAACAGCAGCGCAGTTGCACCCAGCACCTCCCGCTCAACTTGCCGGTTGCCAGGTGTAGACGGCCCTGCCTTGCAATCGCTCAGCCTGGGTGAACATGCGCCGCTGCACTGCGCTGCATGCTGGGTGAACAGCAACATGCGCCGCTGCGCTGCGCTGCATGCTGTTGCAGGTGTCCCGTTTCCATGAGTGTCACACAGAAATGGCTTGGCCAAGTTGCAAGGGCGGCGGTGGTGCTGGGGCTGCATGGGCTGCTGAATTGCTTCCCAACAGCAGCTGAGCCAGCAAGAATACAGAGGCTTTCAAAGAGGTTCCAAGCTGCAGGCTGCTCCACTAGACCCGCTCAGTCCCATGGCCATCGCCGCAGTCTGTAGCTCCGCACCGCCCATAGCGCACCGCAGCAGGGGATGTCATCACCCCGCATTTCGCTCTCGGGACCGCTTCTGCCGCACCGGGGACCGCCTCGCTGTTGAGCAGTGTGGCAGAGCCCTCCATTTCGGCGGCACAAAGAAGCCCACATGGCGCTGCGGTATGCGCTGCAGCGCAGTGCCGCGGCAGAGGCGCTGCTCGTCAGTGCTAGCGCCCAGGCTCGCACCTTGTCTACATTGCCCGCCACCCACGGCCCAGGCCATGAGTGAGTGAGACAGCCTGTTGCTGGTTCTGCTGCTTCCCTGCAAAGCTGCCGTTCTTACGGTAAGACCACGGCATGTCGATACCACCCTCAATGATCCCCAGGCGGGAGCTGCAGGGGGGCGGGTACTGCCACCCAGCGGCCGTGGGCTGCACTGCCGCCTCTCACCAGGCTGCCTGTCTGCTGACCCTGGGTCATGATGCAGTCATGACGAGAACAGCCACTCCCGCCCCACCACCCCCTGGGTGCGGAGCGTGATCAGCGGCGTGGACCTCATGCGGGATGCGCGGGTGAGGACCACACGGCGTGGGGCAGGCTCCTGCCACACATGGATCTGGCGCGGCCTGAAGAGTGCATCTCCTGCTGTGCCCACACATGTCACCTGGATGCCTGACTGGCCCTGCTGGCTCCTTGCGGCTTGCTCTGCAGTATAACAAGGGCCTGGCCTTCAGCCAGCTGGAGCGTGACCGCCTGTACCTGCGCGGCCTGCTGCCGCCGGCGGTGCTTTCCCAGGAGGTGCAGGCGGAGCGGGTGATGACCAACATCCGCAGGTAGGTGGGCAGGAGGCGCACGGGTGGGTGGGAGGGGAGGAAACGTGTAAACAAAGCTGGCAGGAGGAAGGGCGCAGCTGCCCCTCCATCCTTGACGTTCCTGCACCGCTTTCTTGCCACCCTGTTTGCCGGCAGCAAGGGGACGGAGGTGGACAAGCACACCTACCTCATGTCGCTCCAAGAGCGGAACGAGCGACTGTTCTACTATGTGCTCAGCGAGGTGCGGCTGGGACGCGGGCAGGCATGGCGGGTGGTGGTTCCACGGCAGCCAGAAAAGACTGTCTGCCCTTGGCACTTGATAATTTGTTGCAAGCTTCTTGATGTGTGCCCGATGGGATACATCCTCTGCCTGCCTCATGCCTGCAGCACATTGAAGAGTTGCTGCCGCTCATGTCCCAGCCCACCATCGGCAAGTACTGCCAGGGCTACAGCCTCATGTTCCGCAGGTGTGTTGCGGCGGCGTGTTGCCAGCACTGCCCAGGATGCGCACCCCAAGCAAACCTCGCCTTCAGCTTATTCTGACCTTGCTTGACACAGCCAAGCTGTGCCAGTTGTGCTGTCCCACCCTCAGCACAAACCCCCAACCCACTCCAAAGCCCCACTGCCCCACTGCACCTGCAGCCTGCCACGTGCCATGTACCTTGGGCTGGAGGACAAGGGCTCCATCTTCTCCATCCTCAAGAACTGGCCGGAGCGGCGCGTCAAAGCCATCTGCCTCACAGACGGCCAGCGTATGGGGAACCTGGGTGACCTGGGCGTGCAGGTGTGGGGGAAGGGGACGCCTGGAAGTCGCCTGAGGCTGCAACACTGCGAGCCACAACTTGTCCAGCCACAACTGCGCACGGTCAATTGTGAAGGCGATCTATCTGAGTCTGGCGACTACGGAACACCCCTCCCTGTGCAGGCCATCGGCGTGCCCATCTCCCGCCTGGCGCTCTACACCGCCTGCGGAGGAATCGTCCCCTCTGCCTGCCTCCCCATCACGCTCGACGTCGGCACCGACAACGAGAGCCTGCTGCAGGTAGGATTGGGGCTCCCATGCTTTGTCTCCCCCTTGCGACATTACCGTTGCACATAACTGCCCTCCCTCGCCATGTCCACTCGCGCACCCATGCGCACACTAATGTTCTGCCTTCTTTACCGGCAGGACCCGATCTATGTGGGCGGCAAGCACCGGCGGGTGCGGGGCGAGGCCTACTTCGAGCTGGTGGATGAGCTGCTGACCGCGGTACGGCGGCGGTATGGTACTTCGGGTGAGAGGCAGCGATCGCAGTGGTGCGCTGTGCTGCGCCTGTCTGCGGCTCCCTTGCAGAATAGCAGCTGGCCACCAGCAGCATAATCAACATGCCCCTTTCTCACCCACACTCGGTGCTCAACCTGCCCCGCCTTGCAGTGATGATCGACTGCGCGGGCATGGACTTTGAGACGCAGACCAAGCTGATCAACACCTACCGCGGCACCTTCCCTATGTACTCAGACTCAGGTGGGTTGTGCTGGGGCTGAGCTGCCTCGCTGAGCTGACTGATGCAAGAAGGCAGGTGCTTGCGCACCTTGCACTCTTGTTCAGGCACTCTCCACTCAGGGCGACACATGTGCAGTGGTGTCGGATGTGCCCGTGCTGAAGCTGGCCCACCCCCGTGCCGCTCTGCAGTGTTTGGCCTGCCCACGGCGGTGCTGGCTACCGTGTATGCGGCGCTACCCGCCACCGGAGGCTCCCTGGCCGACCAGCGCTTCATGCTGGTGGGTGGCTGCTGGCGGGACAGCGGGATATTGCTGGCTAAAGCTGGTGACTCAGGGGTGCACGCAGCCTCCCCTTCTGCTGCACCTTGGTTCCCACCAAGCTGCGCCTGCCCCAAGATGCGCAGGTAGGGGAGAGTCCGCGCTTGACCGCCATTGCGGAGCTTCTGGAGGAGGCGGTGCAGCGGGAGCAGGGGCGGGGCACAGTGCTGGAGGCGCGCAAGAACATTTTCGTGGTGGATAAGCAGGTGCGGGGAGGGTGGTACAGGCGGTACAGGCAGGCAGTACACTTGGCCCTGCTAACAGTGTGGGTGAGTGGGTGTAACTGCACTGCAAGACGATGGCCCATGGGGACTGGAAGGCAACGATAGGGTGGCGATGCTCACGGCTAGTTTGACTCCTGCCAGACTCCATGCCTGCCCGCCTGGCTGCAGGGCCTGGTGGTGCGTGACCGGTGGGATGCGGAGCAGCTGGAGGACCACAAGCTGCCGTATGCACAGGAGCGCCCCGCCATTGACAGCCTGCTGGACGCGGTGAAGCAGATCCAGCCCACCGTGCTCATCGGGCTGTCTGACAAAGAGCCGCCGCACGCATTCACAAAAGAGGTGCATCGGCGAGTCGAATGCACGGCTTGCTGCACACTGCCAGCTGGCCGGCATGGCAGGAATAAGCCTTTTAGGGTGCAGCCGCACTTTGGGCCGAACAGCCAGGGCCCGCTCCACTCCCTCCTGCCACACCCATGCAGGTGTGCGAGGCGATGGCGGCGGGCACGGAGCGGCCCATCATCCTGCCCCTGTCCCGCATCTCTGCAGCAGGCCAGCTGGAGGCGAGCGAGGTGACGGCGGCTGACGCGCTGGCCTGGACGCGCGGCCGCGCGCTGTTTGCCGACAAGCTCACCAGCGGCCCGGTGGAGGTCCCCGGCGGAGAGACGCGCCAGCTGCGCGCCATAGACACCACATACATCTTTCCGGGTCAGTGTTCTGTGAGGTCACGGGGGGGGGGGCTGGGCGGGCTGGAGGCAACACATACCTGCTTCCGACCGCGCCACGGCTGCGTTCCTGCCTGCCTTCCTGCCCGTTCCTGTGCTGCCGCGCCATGCGCCTACGCACCCCTTCTCTCCTCCTCTGCACCCTCGGTGCAGGCCTGGCGCTGGGGCTGATGATGTCCCGCAGCACGCGCGTGCGGGAGGACATGGTGATTGAGGCGGCAAAGGCGCTGGCGCGTGACGTCAGCGATGCAGATCGCGCTGCCGGCTCGCTGATGCCACCCGTGCCAGCCCTGCGCGACGTGGCAGGTGGGAGGGCGGGCGGGCTGCATGGTGTGGCTGCCAAGGGGCGTGGCATCATTGCTGCCGCCGTCCGCCAGCTCACGCACAAAGCTGGATGGTGCGGCAGCGCTGCGCGTTCTGTCCATGCCTGCACGTGCCTGCTAGCTTGGCTGCCACGTCGCTTGCCTGGCGCCTCTCTCTTGCAATGCAGCGCGCGTGGCGGCGGCGGTGAGCCACAAGGCATACAACGCTGGGGTGGCCACTGAGCTGCCCAGGCCGCACGACCTGCTGGACAAGGCGCTCGGCTGGATGTACAACCCTCGGTACAGGAGGTACAGATGAGGGCCTGGGTTGACCCAAGCAGGGCATTATCTGGGGCAGGCCGTGCGGCTGGTATCTTTGTCACTATAACTCTGTCGCCACGTAAGCGATGGAGCCCCATCCAGTTTTTATTGCGCGCTGCAAATTTTGCATCCCCTTTAATTCATTTAGTGCCTGCCTGCTTGGCCGTGTAACTAAGCTTGTGATTGCAAGTGTTGCACATTATGGCGGCCAGAGATGGAGCCTGGGTGCGTGCAGTACAGCATTTGATAACTACAAAAGATCCACTTGATGGGAATGATGAGATATGAGCACAGTCGACGCGGTGATACAAGTGCCGCGGCGGCAGATCCAGAGCGGGAACAGATAGAGCAAGCAGTGCAGCAGCACATCTGAAGGGCTAATGCGATCATCATGAAGGGCAAGGAAAGTGTCAGGGAAAACAACGGATGAGGTGCAAAAGCATCACCAAAAGAGCTGAGCAAGCTGGCCGCCAATCGGTTGAGTGCGTGCAGTGCAGTCACGTAAGTAAGAGAAGGTAGCACACAAGGGTTCCCAGGCGGCTGCAATCACAACAGCTGGAGGCAGGTTTGAGAGAGATGAGGGCTTGGGCCGCTACATGCAAGCGTGGCGCCGTTACTGCTCCCGCGTGCGAGGCCTGGTGGGCGTTGGGTACCGCTGGCACACCTCCGTCAAGACTGGGAGCGTCATAAAGGAGATGACATCTGCGGATGCGGCAGGCAGAGAGCAGCAGCATAGGCAAGGCGCAGCAGGCAAGGACTGGTTAAATCCATGCTCACAGCACGGCTGTCCCGATTGCTTGTGCCAAGTGCTGGCCCGACGGCACAAATCCCGGGCCGAACGACGCACAGATGCCCTGCGCACTGCAGCGCCTCCTTCCCCGGCACCTGGGTTGCGATGCACTAGCGCCATCCACTCCTCGGGGTTGATCACCCCATCCTTGGTCAGGTCCATCTCGTTGAACGTCTACAGATGGACAGCAGGGCAGCGGCGGCAGTTAGGCAGGCGAGGCGAGGAGGGCGAGCAGACGATGGGCCTTGGCATGGGATGAAGAAGCGAGCAGCCAGGACAGGCAGGCAGGCAACAAAGTATGGGCATCACAGCCCTGGCTCCCAGCCAAGGCAGGCTTTCCGCAACATCCCATCTCAGCCTCAGCTGTCCTGGCCGCAGCACAACCGCACCAAAACAACAAAAAAGGGGCAAACAAAAAACCCTGCCCCGGCAGCGCCCTCATACACACCTGGTCCACAATTTCGTCCAGCGCCTGTTCATCCAGGTCCACGTCAGGGTTGTCGGCCATGAGCGCCACCAGGAAGCGCTTGAGCTCCACGCGCTCGATACGCCCGTTGCCGCCAATGTCATAAATGCGGAAGGCAACTGGCGCAGGGATGGGCAACAGGGTTGGAGGAGGGGCAAGCTGGCAGCAGCAGCAGCAGGAGGGAGCACGTAGCGCGAGGATCAGCAGATGCAGCAGCGACAACTCCCTGCTATCATGCCCGGCTCTGCACCCCCGCCCCATCCGGTCCCCGCCCAGCCACCCCCCCCCACTCACACTTGGCCTTCTCGGGCAACGGCGCCTTGGGGTGGAACACCGACAGGCTGCGCACAAACTCGCCAAACTCGATCACGCTGTTCTGCTTGATGTCGAACAGCTCAAACACGCGCTCCGCAAACAGGTTGTCTTTGTTGGCCTTGAACAGCGCCCACATGAACTCGTCCTTGTGGATCAGGTTGTCCTTGTGCAGCTCGTTGGACAGCTTGCCGTACAGCTCGCGAAGCGCCTCAACTTCGCTGCGCGTGACTGCGGCGGGGCAGGCAGGGCATGCCCATGCAATGAGCGAGGCTGCAGCACCGCAGAGCACGGCCTCCCAGGGGCCCGCGAATGCAGAAGCGTTGGGATTCGGTTCATGCCCCTGGTATGTGGTTCATGCCTCAAGAAAGCAGGCATGACTATAGAGCACCAGGACAACACGCCTCGAGGCCAGCCACGAGTGGCGGCAGGCGGCGAGGCAGCAGGTGTGGCGGCGGCATGAGTTGTCGAGAGGATCCAAGCTGCACGGCCACCTTCCTTGCGTCATGCAGCACCCGACGGAGCCCTCCCCACTCACAGAAGGTCTCTTGCGCAAGCACTTCAGAGGAGTCAGGGTCCAAGTCTTGCACCTTGGGGCGCAGCCCACTGGCATTGGCCTTGGCCTCCACCTCAACCGCGGGTGTGCTGGCGCCGCAGCCCATCCTCACCGAGGGGTGCGCATACAGATTAGGGCTCGGCAGTAGGGAGGGAGGTTTGGGGGGAAGCAGGGGGCAATGGATTGAGGGAGTTACAAGGTGGGGGCAGCGGCAACAGGCGGTATATTGTCTGGGAGATGCCGTGCCCGGCACCGGCACTGTGGACAGGCTGGCGTGACTAGTGTGCTGCCATGGACAACAGGGGGCCTACACAAGGTCTTGCAGGCCTTGCACAGATCGACAGATGATGCTCCCATCCACCTGGGCGGCTGTGGTGACCCGCACCACTGGTCGCAGCATGTCGGGCACCGCCTGCAGCAGCAGCTTCTATGGTGAGAAGAGAGGGTGCATCGGATGATGCGCAATGGGCACTTGCCTTGTGGCTGAACTTTAATTGCTGCTGCCGCCACCCGCCGCCTGCTCGCACCGCCCACACACGTAGGCCCCCCTGCTCTTCCCTGCAGGCACGGCGGTCTATGTGTCAGAGGCGCGTGACGGGGACATACTGCGGCAGCTGGAGAGCGTGGCACGCCAGGCGCCAGGCGCCTGCCTGGCCAACCTGTTTACTGACGAGCCCTACAACCGAACCAACTTCACGCTGGTGGGGCGCTCGGTGCCGGCGCTGGCAGCGGCGGCCTCTACCCTGGCACGCGCAGCGCTGGCACTGCTGGACCTGCGGCAGCACGCTGCCACCCATCCCCGCCTGGGATGCGTGGACCACATCTCCTGCCACCCGCTGCCGACGTCTGAAGCAGGGTCGGCGGCAGCTGCGGCAGCAGCAGCAGATGCTGGAGAGCTGCGGCAGCGGCAGCAGGACGAGGCGGGCGCGGCAGCGCTGGCTGTGGCGATTGCGAGTGAGCTGGGCAGCGGGCCGCAGGCGGTGCCAGTTTACACCTATGGCTGGGCTCACCAGCAGCGGCAGCCATTAGATGCAGTGCGGCGGCAGCTAGGCTACTTCCAGGGCTCTAGCTGGCATGGCGGCCTGCAAGCCCCAGCAGCCGAGGCTGCAGGGGCTGCTGATGCAGAACTGCAGCTGCCGCTGGCGCCGTGTTTTGGGCCGGCAGTGGTGCCTGCGCGCAGTGGCGTGTGCTGTGTGGGCGCTGGGAGATGGATAGTGAACTACAACGTGCTGCTGCTGACAGAAGACATGGTGGCAGCAAGGGCCGTGGCCCGCAGCGTGAGCGAGCGCGGCGGCGGCCTGGCAGCCGTGCAGGCAATGGCGCTGCGCCACTTGGGCGGCATCGAAGTGGCCTGCAACCTGCTGCAGCCTGCCACCACGCCGCCAGAGGCGGTGCTGGGCACAATACAGCGGCTGGCGGGGCAGAGAGGGCTGGCGGTGGGGCCCGCCTACCGCACCAACAAGGCGCCAGAGGAGCTGGTGGCGGCAGCGCTGGCGCTGGGCCTGTAGTTTGGGTGGGTGTCAGAGGTTGTACAAATCGATGTGGCTGTCAATTCAAGCATCCCTTCCTTTTTCGATGGCCAAAAGTGATGGAGTAGGAGTCTCCAGAGCGCATGCTGCTGCATACTCACCCGACCCAGTGCTGCATAGAGTGCTGCATGCCGGCAGTGCAGGGTAGGCCTGGGTGTAACCATACGGGTTAGTATGCTACGTTAGCATACTAATCAGTTACTATGGCATAGAAGAATTTTGAGGGTGGTTACTACGCTTTGGGAGAGGGTTCATACGGCACAGTAACCGCGGGCGGGGACGGTATAGTAACGGCGGCGTGGGGACAGCGCACCCGCCAATCGGGGTCACTCTAAGCCTGGAGGGACTAGAAAAAATCCTCATACATGCTCCAGAGCTCCCAGGGTGCAATTGTCAATGGGAAACGCATCTAGCACCATAAACTGGAACATGCTGCCTGCATTTCATGCCGCCAGCGCCGCTCTAACGCGCCGCTCTAATGCATACATATGGCATAGTACGGGTTAGCGGGGTTCTGGGTGGGTTACTGTTTTGTCTAACGGTGAAATAACCAAGTATGCTAACCATGGTTATTTGACCCATACTACGGCATAGAGAAAATGAGGGGGCAGGGTTACACCCAGGCCTAGTGCAGGGCCAGTCAGAGAACTCTGCCCTCCGGCTATCCCGCATCGGATTTGGTGCTCGCATAGCTTCTCAACACCCTTGATTGCCGCGGAACGGGCTTGACTCGACGGATGTCCTGTTCCTGGCCAACCCTCACAAGCGCAGCAGGCACAGCAGGAGCTCACGAGAGGCATTGGGGCATAGGGAGGGGAGACGTGCACCCCAGCTGACTACAGGCGGCCGAAGGGAAATCAAAGCTCAATTTTCGCGTGCGCCCATCGCCCGTCCTCCCTTGCACCTCCTACTTCGGTCTGCAAGCCGCTCCTACAGGAAGAATGCCTTCCCTCAGGCTCCCGGCCTTCCCTGCGCGGATTTGGAACTTCCCAGGAGGTAGGAATGGCACCGCTCCTGTGAAACCATTGGGGGTGCAGAGAGCAATGTTCAGCATCATTGCAAGCGCTCCACCACCATGCCAACACTGCCTTTTTTCTCACCCAAATCACAATGAAATCGTGCGCTGTCGGTCTAAAAGGAAGGGGGACTCGGGGTTGGGTGCGAACAAAACGGGCGCCCAGTCCGCCCCAGTCAGCCGCCCCACTCCGCGTTGCCAGCGGGCCCCCCGCCCGCCCTGGCGCCGATGCCCCGCCCCCCCTGGCGGTCATCTGACTTGTCCCCTCCTTCCTCCCTCCCCTTGGTACTGCAGCCTACGTGGTTATTTTTGCAACGCAAGTAGCGGCGACCGTGGTGCATGGCCCAGCAAGCAGCTGCATGGCCGGGGTGTGCATGGCGCAGCCCCCCACTGAGGCTAGCCCTACACCATGTGCGCAGCATGTGCGAGTGCTGAGACCCCTGTCCCCGTGGCCTCCCTTCCTGTGCCTGCAGTGGCGTCTCCTGCAGTGCCTGCCTGTACACCTGCTACCATTACATCAAGAACAGCCCCGATTTTGCGTGAGTCGCTGCGCTGGTGCTGTTTGGTCATGACCAGCAGTTTCCAATTCATCCATGTGCCTGCTGCAAGCAGGCACTCGCCTGCTGCCGACCTTTGCTCAAATATGATCGCGATGTGTTTGTTGCGTGCATGCAAGCTCAACCTGTTTGCCCCGCCGCGGCGGCCGGTCGCAGGTGGCGGGAGGAGATGCGCAAGGATGAGGACCAGCAGAACTACTATCTGAAGGAGCGCGCCAAGCAGAGCTACGACTCGAGCTTGTTCCGCAAGCTCGCCATGCTGCGCGACCGCTCGGTGAGTTGGGGGGAGCTGTGGCGCCGCTCAGCATGCGTTCCTCAACCGTTGCCCCCACATGCCGGCGCCCAAGACCCAGACCAACAGTTTGCTCGCCTCCCTGTGCCCGCCATGCAAGTGCAGATCCCTGGCGGCCCCAACGACAAGGACACCCGCATCTGGCGCATCTGAGACCTGCCTCTGCCGCGGCATGCGCATTCACCGCTTCCAATGAGCTTGCTGCGATACTGAGATGTGCGCCCTGAAGGCGTGCACCTCGCGTGCCGCTGTCAGTTAAATAGACGACTAGCCTGCCCCTTCATGCCGGCAGCTGACCAACCAGCGTGGGCAACGGCATGCATTTTTGTGTAGGTAGCTGACACCGTTCAATGCTGCTTTTCATCCTGCCCACTCTGCACCTGTACTACCGCTCTTTTTGCTTGCTCCTCCCTCCCGCATTGCTGTTTCATGTCCGCTTGTTCCCTGTGCTTCTGTGCAACCAACTGAGTTGGCTGGCGGCACTCCGCCGCCCAGCCAGGTGAGTCTGGGTTGTGGGGCAGTGTGCTCTCCAGCATCATGTTGCTGCTTCAGAGTAGTGGCAGATAATCCAGCATTGGATGTGTCCTTCAAACCAACCACTGGCGTTGCCTCTCTCCTACGGGGAGGTGTGTTGGTTTGCCCACTGGCAGCCAGGTTTGCTTGCTGCATGGATCAGACGCAAGGTCTAGAGCAAGAAATCGCACAGTAAAACCGCTGCAAGCGCGGTGGCAACTTGCACAGCTCTGTGCTGCTGTGCCTGCGGGGATACACGTCTCCCCGCAGAGTCACGCGGCCTACTAATGGACTTGCAACCGGCTCTCGCCACACTTCAGCGCTCTGTCCTTCCTGCCCGTCCTCTCGCTCCCAGACTTAGGGTTGACTGCACGTCCCTCCTCTCGTCACCCCCCTACTTCGTCGTCCCCCTCTACCCGAGAGCTCGGCAAGTCACCCTACCGGAAACGCAAGCCTTGCTAACCAGATCCAGCCTCAACCAGCCCCCTGCAACAAACCATGCCCGCCATCCCGCCACTGTATCTCCCGGCCCGGGTTTGGAACTTCCCAGGAGGTAAGCATCCTGACGGAGGAGCCCAGCGATTCCCGTGGAAGCGCCTGCAAGTTGGGGTTGGGGTGGGCACAGCTACCCCCGCTCGCCGCCCATCCCGTGCCGCCGCCCATCTGCCCCTTTGCCAACCAGATGGTTTTGCTTTCTGCCTCCCTCCCTGCTGCTGCAGCCTACGTGGTTCTTTTTGCAACGTAAGCAGCTGCATGTGTCCGGGTGCATGGCGCGGCCCCCGCCACTGTCACAGTCCCACGCCGTGCAGCATGCGTGCCGCCAATACCTCCCTTCCCTGGCCCCCCGGCTGTGCCCGCAGTGGCGTCTCCTGCTCCGCGGCCATCTACACCACCTACCACTACCTGAAGGAGAGCCCTGACGTCGAGTAAGTGGTCCCGTGCGCTCACCTTCCTCCCGAGCAGCCATTTGTATCCAGGGCCACTTCCCTTATCGCTGCTCTCGGCTGCCTCTTGCGCAGGTGGCGGTCAGAGATGCGCCAGGATGAGCTGAAGACCAACGCGTACACCACCTACCGCGCCAAGGAACACGTGAGCAACAGCTTCTTCCGCTGGGTTGCCAACCTGCGCGACCGCACGGTGAGTTACTCTGGGGACACAGTTCACGTCTGTTCTACACTTGCCTGCCTTGGTGTCGCACTTGCTGTTGCACAACTGCCCGGCCCATTCAGCTGGAGAATTCTCCACAGAGCATGATGTGCACCCCCTGCCCTGCACTCTGCAGGTCCCCGGCGGCCCCAACGACAAGGACACCCGCATCTGGCGCGTCTGAGCGCACCATTGTTGTGGCCCTCGGTTGCCACAGCTGTGGCCATTGGCTGCTTGGTTGTGCCCCCCCACCTCCTCTGGGCCTGAGGCCCACGGCTGGTGTGAACGGCCACCGCAGCACCACCTTTTTCACGCTTCAATCTGATACACATTTGCTCTGCTGTCATGACACGACGGAAGCAACCTCTCTGGTTTTCCTCGCCCTGGTCAACCTCCCCCGTGTGGCTGTACCACCAGGGCCCTCCCTCGCTACCCTCTCTTGTACCCACTCAACCCCGTATGCACAGTTGTGCGCTTGCTTGACTTTACAAAATGTGTAGAATCAAACACCAAAGCGCGTCCGTCCAGTCTCCTTTTGCGTCAGCGCCCGGGGTGGGACATTCGCCTGCCTGCTCGCTCAGCGGGCAAACACCATCTTCAGTGCGCCCCACACACCGCTGTGGGTCAGCCCTGCGATCACCTTGGCGACGCCCAGCGGGAGCGGCGCGTACTGGGCTGGTAGCGGGTGGGCGGCGGAGAGGAAAGGGGTGCGCACCACGGCTTTCTGGGTGTGGTCGAACATGTCTGCACACACACACACAGGGTGTGCGGCAGGTTGTTCCGTGCTGGGGTGCCGAAACAGGGGGCTTGCAGCCTGCAAGCACCCCACTTACAGCAGTTGTGGATGGCACCCAGCCCGGAGCCGATGTCGGCAATGGTCTGCTCACCGCCAAACGCGCCCCAGTGGCTCTGCGGCATGCGGCAGGTGTGTGTGCCAGCTCAATGGGGTGTGGAGCAGGCAGCGGGTGTGTGTCTTGCTGGGTCTGGACGAGCGCTAAGGCACGCCTAGGAAAAGGCGGCTGCCAGCCCGCCCACCAGCTGCTGTCCTGACTCACCGCGGCAGGGAGGAAGCCCATGGCGCTCCAGGCGTTGACCGACACGCTGCCATAGCGCAGGCCGTCCAGCGCGCGCTGCACCGCGGCGCCGTGGGCCGCCTCGGTGGTCGGGTCAACCAGCAGGGAGCAGGACAGGCTGCCCCACAGGTCCTCGTTGGCCGCCCGCACCGCCTGTTCCAGGAAGGCCTCAACCAGGCTGCCCTCACCGTCCACTGCCATCTGCACAAAGCAGGCATGCGCGTGGCGGGGCCAGTATGGGACAGAAGGGAGCGCATGGGAGCGACGGGGCAGGCAGCGCGGGCAGGCTGCGTGGGCAACTGGTGCGGTCTGGCAGTGTGGCCTGCCCAGCGTGCACAGCAGCGGCACCCGGACCTTAACAAAGGTTAATGTTGGTGCGAAGGGTTCCACCCTGAAGGCGTACTCGCTCTTTGCATCTGCCGGGTAGGCGGGCAGCTCGTTGACCAGGTAGGGCAGCGGCTCGCCGCAGGCAGCGCCTGGGTCCGCCGGCGGGGCGTGGATGGCCTGCATGTAATGGAGGGCGGGGACATGGGCAGGGGATGAGCAGGGACAGGTTTTCACAATGTGGACCGAGAAGCGGTACAAGCGACCCTCGCAGGGCCACGCCTGAAGTCTAATCTGCTCTGTTCCTGCCCTAAGCCCCTCCCTGCCACGTGTCGCCCACTTTTCCAGGCTGCTTGCCTGCGGGTAGGCATCCTTGAAGGCCTGGTAGCGCTGGCGGATGCCTGGGTAGTAGGGCGCCGGCAGCGGCAGCTGCCCAAGCTCCGCCTTCACGGCCGCCACAAACTGGTCTGCCTGGGCCCAGCCCTCCGCCATCAGGATGACCTTGGGGGCCAGGCAGTTGCAGGAGCAGTTGCTGGCCAGGGCTGTGGGGCAACGGCGGAGCGGGGAGGGGGGCATCTCGCAAATCCACGGTGCGCTGGTTCAGCAGCTGCCGCCAGCATCAGCCAGCCAGCAGGCAGGGGCAATACCTTCTGCCAGGGCTCGCGACTGGTGAGTGAGCTCCTTCTCACTCCACTCCCCCGGCACCACCAGCCAGGGCGTGACGCAGCCAAGCTCGCTGCTGATGGGGACCTGCAGGGCGACAGGAGAGAGAACATGCGTGTGTTGAGCATGTGTCATGTGCTACTGGGTGTGGGGTATGGGGGGTGGGGAGCGCCAACCGAGTGAAGCACAACCTCGCCTACATGGCTCCCAGGGTCGAGGTGCTGCAGAAGGGTACAGCACCTTGAGCAGCGGGTCGTTGTCGGCGCGGCGGCGGGCTTGCTCCGCCGGGTCGCTCCCCCAGACAATGGCATCATGAGTCGCGGTGCCGCCCGTCATGTGCACGCAGTCGGTGAGCGGGCTGTACAGCATGCGCTGGGTCACCTCCAGCGACGGGTTGGTGGAGCTGGCAAAGTAGCCGCGGCGGGCCAGCGGCTCAAGCACATAGTCGATGAACGGGGCGGCCGGCTGCAAGAGAGGGGCAGGTATGAAGTAAACAGGCAATGCGCTCCGGCAGGTTTGGGCACAGGAAGAGAGGTACTGTGGGCGTGGGCCGGCTGCCAACTGCAGCCAGCGGGTGTGCAGGCAGGCAGATGTGGCACGCCTTGCCTTCATGATGGGATGGTACTTCAAATGCACCACACACCCCTCCACGATGGCCATGTGAAGCGCATCAGACAGCGCCAGGTGGTGCTGGTTGCCTGAGCGGGCAAGCAGCGGCTAGGTCACTTGATCAGGTGCACCCATGCGAAGCGCAGGGTATGCACCCCGGGATGAAATGCAAGCAACGGCGGAGCGCACTGCCGCACCTGCGCCCAGCACAACGGCCAGCTTGCCGCTGTGGGGTTCGCGGTAGAAGTGGCCCTGCACACAAGCACACATATGCACACTGGACATGAGCAGGTGCCAACAGCACAACAACAGTATCCACCGCGAGCCCAACCCAAAAATGCCATGCCCGCCCAGCAGCAAGCACCCCACCTGCGTCTCTGGCTTGCCAGGCTGCAGGTAGAGCTTGACAGTGGCGCCGCCCAGCCCCAGCAGGCTGAGCTTGCTCTCCTTGAAGCCCTGGGGGAAGGCATCCACAATGGACTGGCCGTCCCTGGTGGTGGAGGGCGGGCGCGGCATGCAGCCGTACTTTTTGAGGTGCTCCAGGGAGCGGATGTAGCCATCCAGCTGCCCCGCCACGCACAAGACTGCAGGGGGCACGACGGAGCAGGCGCATTAGCAGCTGAGGTGAGTGGGGAATGCGCAGGCCTTTGCGAGGCCACACGACTCAGCACGTCAGCGGGCCAAGGGTGTTCAGGCGCAGGACCCCCCAGTTGCCACGCACCCGTCAGCATCACGTCGCTGGCCACCTGGCCGTCCCGCGTGGAGCAGCGGATGCCCGCGGTGGCGCGGCTCCACGGCAGCAGCTGCAGGCGGGAAGGTGGACACCAGGCGGGAGTCAGAGAGCGATACCAAACTTGATTTGGTGGGAGTCTATCGTTGTGCTGCAACAGGCTGCCTGAAATGCATCGTCCACTCTGCCCGACCTGATCCAGCAGCCTCGCCCGAATCTCCTGCAGCACGGAAATGCGCTCCTCGAGGGGCGCCGCCGCCCACGCCGCCTTCTTGGCGGCCAGCTGCTGCATTGCCACATCCACCTCCTCCAGCTCGGCAGGCGGGGGAGCAGCGGCGGGGGCAGGAGCTGCGACCGCGCTCTGCACAAAGGCAGCAGACACAGACGGGCCGTGGCGGCGGGTGACTAGGCGGTGGCGGGTTGTCCAGTAAGCGTCCCAGCAGCAGAGCTTGCGGGCGCCTGGTGCAAACGCCTTGGATCACAGCCTGGGGCTCACTAGGCGGCTGGTGCACACCATGGCTCGTTTCCGCTGGGAGTCGGAAATGCTTGAGGTGCCAATGCCACCGCCGCGGGGGCGTGCTACTAGTGCCCTGGTCCACTTGAGTCCAAAGAGGCTGGGTTGAGTGGTTGGAGGCTTGCCTTGGCGAACCGATCGTGCGGCGAGCGCCAGCATCAGCACTCACCGCCAGCAAGTGCTGAGAGTGCACAGGCTCTCGTGGAGGGAAGAGAGCGCGATTGGCGCTGTCAGAGGTACTGCACCCGCCGCTGGTGCAGTACATCCGCGCTGCCGACGGCGCGCTGCGCTTGGGCGCTAGGAGGTAGGGGCAGCAGAGCCACTCTCAGTAGGCTGAACAGATGGCGTTGTGTGGGCTTGTTTCTTTCAGACGAGTCCCAATACGGCTGGGTGCGCAGGCGGGAGGGCATCCAGTGCCCCAGCGAGCTCGCACACGATACCTTACACCATCGCAATCAAGAAAGAAGCATGTCACGATCAATTTCAACAAAACGCACATTGAGAACCATCACTTCCAGGAATAAACTGCAAGAAACTACCAAAAACTGGGTGAAGAAGTCCGCTCCGCTTGGCCAAAGGAGCACCGTGATGGACGATGGATGTTGGGTTTCAAATAAGTTAAGCCGAAAAACTGCCGCTCCCTGTCACATTGCCTATGCGTCCTCAGTCTCGCCCTCGCGGCGCTGCGAGGGAAGGTTGAGCATGGTGCGGGAGTCCACAGCAGTGCCAAATCCAGAGGCCACTGCCACCTTGGCAGCAGAGGGGTGACGAGGCGCGACGACGACATACGTCTCCTCCGCGTGGCCCACCCTGCAGCAAAAGAAATGCCGGGCCGGAGGGAAGGGAGGGTGGATGGGCAGGCGGTTTGTATGCGCACCAGATGAGGCCTGCATTCCCCGACAGGCTCTAATAGATGCTGCCACTGTTTTGCGACCTGCCCATTGCCTCCAACCAAACTGCCTGTGCCCCTCCATGCTTGCCTCTTCCTGGTATTCTCCACACGCAGCACAAAGCGCAGGCCGCCAAAGTTTGGATCCTCGGGAACCATGGGAGGCGCAAAGGGAGGCGCCACCAGGCTCACGTCGCACCTGCACAAGCGCGCAGGCCCAGCATGCGGGTGAGGGTATGGCAATCCCACGCTCGGACAACAACAAGCCACATGCATGCATGCTCCCTGAAGCAACATGTGCACACCAGTTGCGAGCAGCGATGAGCTTGTCGGTGCGGGGGTGATGCGGGTAGAAGGCCCTAACCATCTTTTGGCGCGTTTTGCCATCGACATTGGCTGCAGGCAAGGGGCGTGGCGGGGGCCAGTAAGCGCTCCCAGCTCAACCACACTCCCAGCTCACACCACACACCCCAGGCTCACATGCCCAGTTGGTCTTCATGAGCATCTTGACGATGCCGCCAGGTGGCGGCGCGTTGACAATGGCGCTGGACACAATCTGGGGCATGAACATAGGGTCGTCCCTGCAGGAGGAGGAGCCCCACAACCCAGCTCATGGGGGTACAGTTAAAGCTAGGTGTGCTACCCGGTCAGGCTTCTCCGAATTGTCAAGCAACAGTGCGGCATGTGTGGTTCAAGAGCACCAAGAGAAACAGCAACGTGGCACGGCCTGCGCACCCAATGTTCTTGTACTTGGGCCGGCTGTACAGGCGCCCCACGCCGCCAACATGCGCATCGCCTGCTCAGGGTGTCACAGCAACAGGCAGGGCACAGCAACCAGTTGGTGCAAACCATGTGCCGCCGGCATGGCATTGCAGCAAGCAGAAATGACGATTTGTGTGCTGCGGCAGATCAATCGTGCTGGGCGATGCGCACCCGACAGGATGCTGACGCGCAGGTGCTTGCTGGAGGCAAAATGCTGCAGCAGGTGGATGAACTGCAGCCGCTCCTCTGCAATGGGAGGGCAGGCATGACACAAAAGTATGATGCGGGCGTCTAGCCAGCATTCCCAGAAGCCAACTGGAGACATGAACCTGTCCAGCCAGGCTGCCCCATGCTTGCCTGAGTGTACATCCGCCACCCAGCCGTCCACCAGATCGTCCAGAATTTCAGGCTGGTCGAAATTGTCCATCAGGCCTGCAGACGGGACGAGTACAATTCAAGCATGTGCCATCCATTCATCAGCAGGCGGCCACACGGTGGCATGCCTAGCAGAGGATTGCGGCAGAAAATGGGCTGGCCTTGCCTGTGGTGCGCGCCATGCTGCGGAATGATTTCCAGCTCTTGCTCATGCTGCTGATGCACCCCAGGATGGACTCCGCAGCGGGGATCTGCATGCAAAGCGGGGCCGCAGCAGGTGAGGCATGGTGGTGCATGGGGCAGGCAGCCAGACGGCGGCCCTAGAGGCTTGCCTTGGGGAAGATGAGGGGGATGCCGGACAGCACCACCAGGTGCTGCGGGCCCGCGGGGAGGCTGTCCACAGTGCGCTTGAGCAAATCGTAGGTGGCCTGCAGGCAGCACAGCATGCACAGCGGGGCAGCAGTTCGACGCCAGGGAGATGAGCTGTAGTGGTTGCATCGGCAAGTTGGGTCAGGATCGCTCACCGGCGGCATGATTCGGTCCTTCTTGCGCTGGCTGCGCATGTCCATGCCAATGATCACCACCTGTGGGCCCATGAACTTCACATAGTGGAATTCCCTGTAGAGAACAGGTGGAGCGGGGAGGCGGGTCAGAAGGCAAGGAATAACACATCTTGGGTGGTGCAGCAGCACAAGCAAAAGAGCAGCGCGGGGCGTCCCCCTCCCAGAAACTCACGAGCCGTCGTTGGTCTGCGGGGCACAGGGACGGGCAGAGGGCCAGGCAGGAATAGTGTTGCAGCCGGCGCAACACATGGCGCTGGCTGTGCTTCAAGGGCCGGCACGCCCTGCATGCCAATTGCATTCCCCCAACACAACCCCCGCGGGCCCCACCCACTCACCAGGTACTCCTGCTTCTGTTTGTTGAAGTCGTCGGTGGTGTGCTGCTGGAACAGCAGGTAGAACTTGCGCGCCACGGCAAACAGGCCCTGCACACAACAGCTTGCGTGCATGTGCTGGTCCACAGGGTGTAGCGCAGCCTGGTTGGGAACAGGAAGTCAAACACGAGCCGGCAGCGGCCGCAGGCGGCGGGCGCCATCGGGCAGCGCTGATACGCACCTTGAAGACCTTGCAATCCTGTATGTCGGCGTCATATGAGCCGTAGCCATCCCAGATATCGTGGTCATCTGCAATCCAAGCAAAGCAAGTTTAGACCCCGTCCAACCACAACGAGACGGCTATGCTGTTGTTTATTTCCCGCCCACTCACCCCACATCATGACTTGCGGGATCTGGGCGTACGCGTCGCACACATCCCTCATGCAAAAGGCGGAGATGTAGTTGGAAATGTAGAAGGAAGTGGCCTCCGCCTCCATCTCCTCTGTCCAGTCAGCCGCCGCCTTGAACTCGCTGCAGTGGCAGGCACGCGGCGGGGGTAACTCAGGCACAGGTTGAGCCAAGTTCCGCAGGCAGGTTTCGCGCGCAAGCAGGATACAAGGCTGCGCGACTGCGCAGCAAACCCCAGGCGATGTCAGGCCGCCGCCGCCACACTCACTGATCCGGGTTCTCGCCCCAGGCCTGGAGCGAGGGCTGCTTGAACACCGGATCGTTGTACAGCTGGTCACCTGCGCGTGTCCATGACCAGGCAGGGCCAGGGATGAGCGGCCGCCAGCAGCCAGCATCGCAGCAGTGCACTGGCACCCATGCAGCCAAGGCTAGCCTAGCTGCTGCCGGCGAAGGTACTACCGCTGCCGCACCACCACGTGCCACACGCACCTCCGCCCACCACGCAGTGCAGCGGGAAGGCGCTGTGCAGCTTCAGCATGTCCTTCCACAGGTACGTCACCTGCGGTAGGGAGTGCGGCATGCAAGCATAGATAAAGGCAGCGCCAAGTGCAACACCAGCATACGATGGGCAGCACGAACGTCTGGCGGTAGCCGGCACGAGTGCTGCTGGCAGGGACGCTCACATCTTGGCGCTCTGGAGCGGTTGCAGGGATGCTGCCGGAGAAGCCGTTGCACGAGGTATACTGCAGAACAGGAAGCAAACCCCAAAGCCGACGAAGTGAGCAGACGACACAACCCTCAGCCTCCGTTGAAGCATGCACAGTTCTTGCCCACCAAAACAACACAAGCATACACGCGCCCCCTGCTCCCCTGGCCCCCAACACACGCACCCCCCAGTGCATGGGCTGGCCCACGGCGGGCAACCAGAACGAGTACGTCTTGGTGATGGTCGTGCCTGCACAGCCGCAGCAAAGCAACAGCCAATGAAACGCCGGCCACCGGTGCAGAACTCTCGAGCAGGCAGACATAGACACACGCCACAGGGCGGTTACAACTGCAGGCAGGCTAGGCCAGACGCTGCCAATGGCACCGGAAGCAGACGCCCAACCTGCGCTGACATTGTACTCGACAGGCCGCTGCCAAGGCGCCAGCTGCAGCTCGATCTCAAACCGCCAGAACGCCCATCCCAGGACACTCGCCAGCTGCGTGGGCTCCAGCTGATGCGACCCGCTGCCGCCTGCGGCACTGCCATCCGTCAGGGTGAGTGTTGGCTGAGGCGCGCCAGCCTGGTCGCCGTTGGCGCCCCCTCGCGTGAGAAAGAGCACCGAACCCGTCCACGACGAGTCACCGGCCCCCGTGCCGCCCTGGAAGCGTAGAAAGGGCCCTGCGGTGTTGCCAAACTCGGGGCTGCAGGAGGGATGGGACAAGCAAGGATTGTACG